CGCTCTCGCTCGACCGCCTGTTCCTCAGCGGCAACCGCTTCCAGCTGCCCGAGCGGGAGCCCTTCCTCTACGTCCGCTCCCTGCGCTGGCTGCAGCTCGACGCCTGCGGCCTCACGCACCTGCCCGAGTCGGCCTTTCGCCGCCTGCCCAACCTGCGAGTGCTGCAGCTGCGTGACAATGACTTAGAGACGCTCGGTGATGCTGTCGTCTACTTGAAGAACCTCTCTGTGTTGGCTCTCCAGGGGAATAGACTTGTGCGTCAAGTATTCATGTTGCCTCCTGGTCTCCAGCTGTTCAATCTGAATGACAACGACGTTGATGCTTTTGACAAGGGGATGATTCAAGGGGCCGACAACTTGGAGTATTTGTTGATTTCCAATAACTATATAACATCGATTCATGAAGGCTCACTACTTTACCTGCACAACCTGAAATTTCTAGAACTCGGAGGAAATAAACTTAACACAACCTTTGACACCCTTTCGTCAGCAGCATCCATAGAAATTGTTCACTTAGAAAATCTATCTAGCCTAAAGCTTCATGAAAACGAAATAGAATCGATAAATTTAGAAGTATTTCTGAAGATGAAGAATTTGAAACAACTGTCGCTTTCCGGAAATAAAATTAAAACTATCACGAACGAAGTGTGGCGTAGAAATTTAGAGATAGAAGAGACACCAACACTGGAGGGTCTTTCGCTTTCTGGAAATAAAATTAGCTTTTTAGGGTCATCATTAAGACCATTCATGAGTTCAATGCTTAACCTTAATCTGTCGAGCAACAGACTAGTTTCCTTCAGCTCCAGCAGACTCACCCAAGAGACTAGAAGCTCTCTGAAGTCTTTGGATCTGAGCCACAACCGAATAAACCCGTCCTTGGCTAAAACACTAGAGCTGGATTACTTAACTGAATTAGAATTCTTGTCCTTGCAAGGCAATGAAATTGAAAGCATGAGCGATTCTACATTTCGCCGTCTTAAACGTTTAAAACATCTCGATCTTTCAAACAATAAGTTCAAGAAACTTCCAGCAGGTCTTTTCCGGAATTTAAAAGAGCTCAAGATTCTTCATCTTAAGTTTCTAAACATGAATAACGGAATGCAACAGTGGTCGTTGTATTTATTTGATCCCTTGACAAATTTAGAAGAATTATCACTGCAAGGAAACAATATAAGAATTCTGCCAGAAACAATATTCCAAAATTTGAAACGTTTGAAAAGTCTCGATTTATCTTACAACAATCTGCAGGTTCTAAATTTGAATATCCTTATGAATTCTGTATATTTAAAGAAGTTAAATTTAAAATACAACAGCCTGCTGTACCTGAGTTGTAATTCTCCGTGCTCGTTTGTCAGTATAACGCACGTCGACTTGGAAAGCAACAGTTTCAGAGAAATACCGCGCAACTTCACCACGACGTTTCCGTCCCTCCAGCACCTCGACGTATCCAGGAACCTCCTGGAGTCGCTGGATCTGGACGCCCTGGAGGAGCTGGAGGGGCTGTCGTCTGTGCGCGCTTCGTACAACCCGATCCCGTGCGACTGTCGCATGCTCGCCGCTTGGGAGCGGTACGGCGGCGCAGGCAACCAGACGGTGGAGGCAACGTGCCAGGTACGCCTCAAAACACCCCCCCCCCTTCGTGGAGCGACACTTACTGTGCTCGAAGTTTGGAAAACAGTCAGCGGTTATTGCAGAGAAAACAAATTTCATCAATAACGTTATAAGAACAAAGTGAAAAGGAATGCTAAAACATGCTCGAATATAATTATTTTGACGTAAATCACTACATTGTCGGGATAAATTAAACCTTGTCATAAATATTTTATTTTAAATCAGTATCGACGATTATTGACACTCTGCTAGTAGGATAGTCTTATTGATGCCATGAACCTCTTTGTCAAATTTATTTTTGTTCGTATTTTTTTAACTTGCAAATTCCATACTCTTTTTTCTCCTACCTGACTAGTATTTAATCTATTTTACAATTTTAAATTAATTAGTTCCTATTTTAATTTGTCAAAATAATTAATCATAAAAGAATAATAATAAAAAATTGATGCAGACAAATCAAATCGAATCAGCGTTATGAACATATTGTAATAATGTAATTAGATATATTGTGTATGATAAGCTGTTACGGAAATATTATTATTATTATTATTATTATTATTATTATCCAGGACATTGTATCAATTTCGGAAATTTTACAATAAATAATACAAACAAATAAAACATTTTACGAAAGAAAAAAAAGGCCGATAAATGTATATGTGACAAAGTTCAAAAATGTTTTCCTACATCAGTTGTTAGAATTTCATTCTTGAAGTAAGCAAATGCACTTGGCGCGGCCAAGCGCCTGCTGCTGAAGGGCGAGGCGTGTGTGC